GTGGGAGAAAGATGAGGCTTTCTACTCCCGTAAGGATTTACACCCTTGGAAACCCTATACAGGGTCGCTGTGGGTCAGAACCGACTCGATGGCACTTAACAACATATGATGTGGCTGGTGGTGACTGTGTGCTGTGGAGTTGGTTCCGACTCATAGCAACCCTGTACAGGGTTTCCGAGGCTATAAATCTTTATGTGAGTAGAACACCTCATCTTTCTCCTGTGGAACAGCTGGTAGTTTCAAACTGCTGACCTTGCGGTTTGCAGCCTAATTTGTAACCACTATGCTATACTCCCGTAAAGATTTACACCCTCGGAAACCCTGTACAGGGTCGCTATGGGTTGGAACCGACTTGACAGCACTTAACAACAACAACAATGCTACCAGAGCTCCTTATATGATGTAGTTTTTCTTATTAAATTTGCCCAACAAACCCAGGTGTGGCACCATAGGATAAGGCCAATTTGAACCACAAGGTCTGCAGTTCAAATTTATCAGCAGCTCCTCGGAAACCCTAAGAGTCAGAACCGACTCAACAGCACTTAACAACAAGGAGGGAAATACTATTACTTATTTATGAGGAAACAGGTTCAGAAAGGTAAAGTTACTTGTCCAAGATCACACCTGGGAAGAGTATAAGCCTCTACCAGCCTCCTCACCTTAAAAAAAAAGAAAAAAAAAAAAGGCAGATAATTAAAAAAATTTATATTTGGCAAGAAAAGAAAGTGAGGTAAGCCTGAAAGAGCTCCCTGCTCTGGAAAGATCTGAAGGAGGTTCGGAGGCTAGAACTGTGTCACGGAGAAGCCAGGAAATCCTTCTAGGGTTCCAACAAACGTGTGACTCAGTGGGTTCTTGACCGACCCCACTCTTCTCTGTGCATTTCTGATTTTTTGCTCCTATGAAGTCCTTCCTTGACTCTAACCTGAGTCCCTCTTGCTGCTGTTTCCCACTGACTGAGCTCACTGGCAGATCAATGTCACCTGCCTGGTTGCTCCATCTCTCCGCTGGGCTGGTCCTGTGGCCTGCCCTTCAGCCCTCAGACAGCCTGTAACCGGACACTCTCTTTGCTCCCAGCAGGCAAGCCTGAGCTACACTGTGTGTGCCCATCCCTGGATCCCCTCTCCAGAGCCCTGGGCACAGCATGCCCCCCGCCCAGTCCAGTGACCTTCGCCTGTCTAAGCTCTGGTTAATTTTTGCCTAGTCCGTTGGCTGTGGAGCTCCTCCCCTTTCAAGGATATATACTGGCCTAAGGCTGCTCCGTTCCCTGCCAGTCCTGAGCCGCCCCAGCGCCTTGCCCACCCTCACCATGGCCAAGGGCTTCTACATTTCCAAGCCCCTGGGCATCCTGGGCATCCTTCTCGGGGTAGCCGCTGTGTGCACCATCGTGGCACTATCTGTGGTATATGCTCAGGAGAAGAACAAGAATGCAGAGAACTCTAACCCAGGGAACCCCACGTCAGGACCCATCAGCCCCACCTCAGCCACCACCCCGGCCACCACGTTGGACCCCAGCAAACCGTGGAACGTATACCGCCTGCCCAAGACATTGGTGCCTGATTCCTACAATGTGACGCTGAGGCCCTACCTTACCCCCAACGACAAGGGCCTGTACATCTTCAACGGTTCCAGCACTGTCCGCTTCACCTGTAAGGAGGCCACCAATGTTATCATTATCCACAGCAAGAAACTCAACTACACCGCCCCGCTGACCCTGAAGGGTGTGGGGAGCGCCCAGACCCCTGAAGTTGACACCACGGAGTTGATTGTGCCCACTGAGTACTTGGTGGTCCACCTGAAGGGCTACCTGGCGGTGGACAGCCAGTATGAGATGAGCACCGAGTTTGTGGGCGAGCTGGCGGACGACCTGGCAGGCTTTTACCGAAGCGAGTACATGGAGGGGGGTGTCAAAAAGTAAGTGTGACCTGGGTTTACCTGGTGGGGGCAGATCCTAAATGCTGAGGCAGAGCTGAACCCTAGGATCCAAGTAAGGATTGTTGGGTTCGAGGCCTTTGAACTCACTAGATCTTTCACCAGCCCAAGGTGCATCTGGTGGAAAAACTACCCAGATAGCAAACCCTTTCCAGAAGTCTCCCTTATCCCATATCAAGGAGTCTGAGATGAGATGCAAAAGTGCCCCTTGGACAGATAGGAAACCTGAGGTTCAGAGGAAAGAAGTGGTCTGCCGGAACTTTAAAGAGACCCTGATCTCCCCCCTTCAGTTGGCCTGTCAGGGGTCCTGAGGTGGCTGGAGGTGAGGAGCAGGGTAAGAATTTTGCAGGAAGTGCTGCCCACCATCCCTTCCCCTGCAAACCCGGCAGACCCTATGTTCCCATGCACCCATGCCATAGCACTCAGGGATTCTGCCCCCACACCCTGTAACATCCTGGTTTCTGGGCAGGGTGGTGGCTACGACCCAGATGCAAGCCGCAGATGCCCGGAAATCCTTCCCCTGCTTTGATGAGCCAGCCATGAAGGCCACGTTTAATATCACAATCATCCACCCCAAGAACCTCACCGCTCTGTCCAACATGCTGCCCAGAAGTACGTGGGTTCTGTCTTGGGGCCACAGTTTGGGGGAGCAGGAACCCTGGGACTGGGATGCAGGGCAGGGGAGGGGGTGCATTTCCACACCTCTGTGTGCTCTATGCCTAGGTCCCAGTTACCCGCTTAATGGAGAGCCCGACTGGAATGTCACTGAGTTCGATACCACACCCAAAATGTCCACGTACCTGCTGGCTTACATTGTCAGTGAGTTCACTGCTGTGGAGAAAAATACATCCAGTGGCATCAAGGTGTGAAGCTGGGACCCCTCCCTCCTTTCCTGGGACCAGTCTAGCCCAGGGATACTCCTGTTACCCCCTCCCTTCACCATGCCAGTGTTTGACTTACTAAGTGATCTCTGGCCAAGGCCTCCTTAAATTCTCTGACCCTGTTTCTACATCTGAAAAATGGGAATAATGTCCCTTCCTCATGAAGCTACCAGAAGGATGGTGACTCTGACTATTGGTTTCCCTCAGAAGACCCCTCGCTAGGACCCATGTTGTTGTTGTTGTTGTTAAGTGCAGTGGAGTCGGTTCCGACCCATAGCGACCCTGTAGTACCTCAAAATTCCCAAGCCCCCTTCTCTGCTGATCAGACCTCCCTTAGGGGAGTCCACCTGGGCCACCAGCTCCCAAACTTGTCTGCCTGAACCAGGCCCAGGAGGGGCTTGTGACCTACCTTCTACCCTCTTTGCAGATCGGGATCTGGGCTCGGCCCAAAGCAACCACCGATGGCCACAGTGACTATGCCCTGAATGTGACTGGCCCGATCCTGGAATTCTTTGCCCAACATTATAACACAAGCTACCCACTGCCAAAATCCGGTGAGTGAGGGGCCTTATGGTGGAGGGCATTGGGTGTGGCTCCACATTCAGGATCATCCTGCCAAGAACCTCATCTCTCTAGACCAGATTGGCCTGCCCGACTTCAACGCGGGTGCCATGGAGAACTGGGGGCTGGTGACCTACCGGGAGAATTCCCTCCTGTTCGACCCATTGTCCTCTTCCAGCAGCAATAAGGAGCGAGTAGTCACTGTGATTGCTCACGAGCTGGCCCACCAGGTACCCCTAGGATGGGGAGTGCAGAGGCAGAGGGGGCTTCTGGGAAGAGAGTCCCACCTGGCAGGGTGCAAGGGAGGAGACAGGGTGAGCTAGGTCCTCGGGAAGGGTAGCTCTGGGTACTACTAGGTCGAAGTTGATTGCCGATCATCCTCTCTGCCCACAGTGGTTTGGGAACTTGGTTACTGTGGCCTGGTGGAATGACTTGTGGCTGAACGAGGGCTTTGCCTCCTACGTGGAGTACCTGGGTGCTGACTACGCAGAACCCAGCTGGAATCTGGTAAGCCAGCTGCCCAAAGGGCTTCAGGGTCCAGGGTGGGGTGGAACTGGGTTTTCCCCTCCCAGGTCAGTCTGCCCAGGCAGCTGATGGCCGTTGGGGATTTGCAGAAAGACCTCATAGTGCTGAATGATGTGTATCGTGTGATGGCTGTGGATGCACTGGCCTCCTCACATCCGCTGTCTTCTCCTGTGGATGAGATCAACACACCAGCCCAGATCAGTGAGCTTTTCGACTCCATCTCCTACAGCAAGGTGAGACCCTCCCTCTGGGATGGAGCGCCTGAAGGGAGGTGGAGACTGGGCCAGGAGATGGCCTGCCTCCAGGCAGATGGGGGGGCTAGCCCAGGCTTCTGAGGCCCCTCTCTCGTGCTCATTCCCAGGGAGCTTCAGTCCTCCGGATGCTCTCCAACTTCCTGTCTGAGGAAATATTTAAGAAAGGCCTGGCGGTGAGTACCCTTGGCCAGTCATGGACCTGGTGGGATTCCTTCAGTGTCTGTCCTTTGCCCTCAGCCTCCCACTGGGCTTGAATGGTGGAGCCTGGGAAATACAGCTCAGTTCTCACTGTGACCTATCTCCCACAGTCCTACCTACACACCTTTGCCTACAAGAACACCAACTACCTGGACCTCTGGGAGCACCTGCAGAAGGTAAGTAACAGCCAGCCCTCCTGAAGCTACTCTGCTGAGGTTCTGAGATGCTGAGAAATCCCTGGGGGCAGTATGTGTATGAGAGAGAATGTCAGGCAGGTCATCTGGAGCCTTGGTTGCTCATCTGTAAAATGGGCACCATGATGGTGACTCGTGGGAAGTGGGGTGAGGCCCTTGTCAAGACCTCTAGCAGGTAGCCTGCCTCACATTATAACGAGCTCCTTGAGGGAAGCCATCGTGTCCCTTCATTTTAGCTTCTTGTCATTGTTAAGTGCCATCGAGTTGGTTCCAATTCACAACAACCTTGTATGGGGCTTCCAAGACTGTAAACCTTTGCGGGAGCAGAAATCCTTGTCTTTCTCTTGGTGGGAAAGTGAGCAATCCAGGTCCCCAAGCCCAGCCCTCCTCTGCCTGTAACTTGAAGCCGTACTCAGCACTTTCAGCTGCCCTCTGCATGGACCTGCCATTCTAGGCACGACTTTGTACACACCACCCCCTCCACACAAACTGACCCCCAGCAGTCCCTGGTTTGTGAGGCAAGCTTGTACCTTCCCCTTCCCCAGAGGCCTCCACCTTCCTCCCTGCCTCTGTGAAAGGCCACCCTGTCCCCTCCTGGGGCTGAAGTCTGAGCACTGCCCATGGTCAGTAGAGGATTGTCCCCTCCAGCACTGATATCCCCTCTTGAATACCACACCCCAGCCTTCCCCTTCAGCTGCCCAGCCAGCTTCGCCACCCCCAGTGCTACTCCTGTCTGCCCAGTTCCTGGGTGTCCAGGCCCTATGGACAGTCAGACCAGAGAGGGAGACCAAGGTCCTCATTACAGTGTTCTCCCACAAGCTTGGCCCGGCTCCCAGAGACTCTGCCGGCAAGGTGGCGTTGGCACCTCCTTCCCTTGTCTTGATTTTTTTCTTTTTTCCACCTCTTCAAGCCTCGCCTGCCTCCATGCTCAGGCACCCTCAGCTCTGAAGAAAAGACCCACGAAGACAATAAAAATCACCCCTAAGGCCCTGCCCCAGCCCCATCTGAGTTCATTTCCTTCACACACACACACACACACACATATATATAGCTGCACATATGTACACAGGTGTGCATAGTACCCCCCGGCAGCCACATGCACACATATACGCACACAAAGACGCTTGCCTGCGTTTTGTCTTTTCTCTGCTTCCTCTTCCTTCTCATTTCACCGATGTTACTCATGCTGAACCATGAGCAGACGGTATCCCTGTCTGGCACAAAGCGGGCCACAGGATGGCCACGTAGCTGAGCTTCACTGATCCACACTGGACTGAAGCTGGGAAGTTCTCCATCTCATCTAGCACTGTCTCCACCAAGAAACGGCACAGCTGGGTCTAGGAGCAGGCTCCTGCCTCTCAGTGGGGCCCCACCAGCTAGAGCAAGAGCTGCAACCTGGGGTATCTGGGGTGGGTGGGAGAGAAAGGATGGCTGTCCACTGACAGCCACACTGCCTGGCTCTGCCCTCAGGCTGTAGATGAGCAGCCAGCACTCCAGAATCTTCCCGCCTCTGTGCGTACCATCATGGATCGCTGGACCCTGCAGATGGGCTTTCCTGTCATCACTGTGGATACGAGCACAGGAACCATCATCCAGGAACACTTCCTCCTTGACCCTGAATCCAATGTCACCCGTCCCTCAGAGTTCAAGTGAGCAGATAGGGTCCCAGTGAGTCCTCTATGGGCTTCCCTGACCATGGTGACCCTGACCTGCTGTAATCCCAAATCCGGTGGCTATACCCATGCTCTCCTTCCTGGGGCCAGGGCACTTGGGGTCAGAGCTGGGCAAAAGCTGGCCAGCTCTCACCGCCTGGCCCCTGGTCTTGTTGCAGTTACCTGTGGATTGTGCCCATCTCGTCTATCAAAGGCGGTACAGATCAGAGCATGTACTGGCTGAATGGTACCAAGCAAGGTAACCCTGCCCTGCCTTAGTGGGCAGCATTTCCCACCCCATGCTCCCAACAACTGGTTCACGTTTAGGGGGTGATGACTGACCTCAGCAAGGGCTTACTTCATTACTTCATTCAACAAATGGAGCAGACGTCTTTGGTTCTAACCTCCACTCTTCCACTGCCCTGCTGTGTGGCTCTGGGCAAATTACTTCCCCTCTCTGGTCTCTATTCCTTCATTGGAAAGATTGGGCTAAGAGCAATGCCTACTGAATTAGTTTGCCTGAGGTTTAAATGAGAGAATTCATGTGAAATGATTAAAATTGTGCCTGGAACATGGTAAGCCCTCAAAGCACAAGCAAGCCTACTTACTCTGTACTGGACTCTGAGAAAACAAGGCCAGTCATCCTTGGCCTTGACGAAGACAGATATGGGAAGGAAGGCAAGTGGTTCAAAACATGCCAGAACTGTGCTGAGCACAGGGACATGTATGGCTGGGCTACTGGGGCCTGGGGGTAGCTGAGAATAAGGGAGATTCAATGTCATGGAGAAGTCAGAGAAGGCTTCCTGGAGGAGGTGAACCAAGTTTAGAAGAAGACTAGGAGTCAGACAGGCTGACAATGTTCTGGGCCGAGGGACAAGCAAGTGCAAGGGCTACGAGGTAGGAGACAGCAAGTGTAGCTAGGGCTGAGGTATTCCTGAACCGAAAGCTGGGCTCCTGAGGCCTCTGCAGATACTGGGAGACAGAGCCTGTGTCCTCGGGCACCAGGGAGCCTGGGCAAGGGGGCAGTGGGCCAGTGATTAGGTCAGACCTTTGGAACTGGAGAGATCCTTTGGGCTGCTGGGAGAAAGGGTGGAAGGGGTCAGATAGGAGGAGGGAGGCAGTGAGGAGGGAGTGCTGAGTCCCCCAGAAGATGCGAGCTGTGCTGGGAGTATGGGGTTGCTGACTGGATGGGAGGAGAGGGAAGAGGAGTTCTCAGTCTGGGTGACCGCCTATGTGATGGGATTTTGCAGGAGAACAGGGAAGGACAGGGGGAGGAGGTGTTGAGTCTGAATGGCCAGGGGTGTGCTGATGGAGATGTCCAGTGTACTATCACTGATGCTGCCACACTAAGCCTGTGGAGGTCACTGTGGGCAAGCAGGAGGTGGAATTTAGCCCTGCAGCCCAGTCCTACACCCTCGGTCCCCCGCCCTAAAAGCCTGAGGGCAAGTTAGTGCCAGGTTCTATGGGGAGCTGCTCTCACCAAGACCTGGGGGTCAGCAGCCCCCCATCTTAACTCTGGTCCCTCCTCATAGCCCAGAGTGAGCTGTTCAAATCAACAAACAATGATTGGATCTTGCTGAACATCAACGTGACAGGCTACTTCCAGGTGAACTATGACATGGATAACTGGAAGAGGATTCAAACTCAGCTGCAGACAGATCCATTGGTGAGTGTCTTCCACCCCCACCCCATTCACCAGGACAGCACCTGCCCCCACCACCAGCCTGAGGCTTCACACTCCGTTCTCCCTTCTAGGTCATCCCTGTCATCAATCGGGCCCAGGTCATCAAGGACGCCTTCAACCTGGCCAGGTGGGTGGTCCCCCTGGCTCCTTCCTCCTGTTGTGTTTCCTCTGTGCTACTCCTTCATGAGTAGTCTTCACATCCCTGGAGATTAGTAGTATGATTACCCCCAGTTCACAGATGAGAAAACAGATTCAGAGTCCCTTGTCTGAGGTCACTCTAAAACCTCACTGGGCCCCATGGCACTAAGCTTTTCCTGAGGGCCTCCAGGCTGCCAGGCTGCCCTGTTAGGCTCTGGAATGGAAAAGTGAGGAGAAATGGTTCAGCAGAATGAACTAGTATTTATTGAGCACCTACTGTGTTCCCTGAGAAGTGCTAAGCTCTGACATGAAGGATGTCACCTGCAGACCTGGACATTCATGAAACAATGTCCACAGACAGCCTGAAGAAGAGGCGAGAGGAAGGACCAGAGGACCAAGCAACCAGAAAAGGGGGGTGGACAGAGGAAAGAGCCCAGGCATTTTGTCCTTCTGAATCGCAGCTCTCTCTTGTGGACTGTGTGGACTTGGGCGATTACCTTTCTGAGCCTCAGTTTCCTCACCTGTAAAATAGGGTCCCACCCAGCATCCACGCCCTTCATTCCCTCTTGGTGACTGCTGAAGTTGATCATCTGAGGCTCTGGGGCCTCAGACCCCAGGATGGGTCAAAGAGTCGAGGATTGAGGAAGAGTCTTGAGGGCCTGAGCAGGTTTGGGGTGCTGACTTGGGCCTTTCTCTTTGTTCGCAGTGCCCAAAAAGCCCCTGTCACTCTGGCGCTGGACAATACCCTCTTCCTGATCCAAGAGAAAGAGTACATGCCCTGGCAGGCCGCGCTGAGCAGTCTGAGCTACTTCAAGCTCATGTTCGACCGCTCTGAAGTCTACGGCCCCATGAAGGTACAGAGGAGGTCTCAGAGCCCAACTTATGAAAACCATCCCCGGGTGGGAAAACCCTTCAGATTAATCCCAAACCAGGTCATTTCCTGAGAGCAGGCCTGGGTAAGCCGTGAGAGAACAAGAGAGCTCCAGGGTGAAGGGAGCAGATTCTGAGCCTTTAAGCAAAGCTTGCTGATTTGAATATGAAAAATTAACACTTTCAGAAGGCACAGAAAAAGGCCACTGTGCTTTTTTATATGTCACAAGGTCTTTGGCCCTGGTTGTTGTTAAGTGTCGTCGAGTCGGTTCTGACCCATAACGACCCTGTATAGGGTTTCCAAGGAGCAGCTGGTGAGCTTGAACCACTGATCTTGCAGTTTAAACTGCTTTGCAGTCTGACGCATTAACCCACAGCACCACACCAGGACCTGGTTAAGTTCTTCATAAAATGAGCTGGTCCTTAACTGCCTAGCTGCCCTGCAGGACATCAACAGGCATTGAAGTATTTTCATACTGAGGGGTGGGCGGGGGTGGTATGTGTGGGTATTTGTAAAATGCTCATCTTAAGATGAGACTTGGATTCTGGCGAGGAGCCCAAGGCTGAAATGTTCTTCATTTTGCCTCCTTTGGGGTCTCAGAAATAACACCTCTCTGGGGGTTGAGGTTCCCACTTGGGAGTCTAATGAGAAATTCTAGCTTGCTCAGGGTAAAAAGAGCCATACAGAGGTTCAATGCAACTTGATTCATAATAGACAAAAAGACAGAAAAACACTGAAATGTTCAACAGTAGAGAATTGGTGGAGAAAGCCAACTATTGTACACTATGCATTTGATGGAATATTATGTAACAAAGTGCAGTCAGAGCGCCCCCTGGAGGCCAGGATGGCCAAACTTTGTCTCTTATACTTCAGACATATTGTCAGAAGGGACCAGTCTCTGGTAAGGTGGAGGGTCAGAGAAAAAGAGAAAGACCCCCAGCAAGACAGATTGGCCAAGTGGCAGCATCAGTGGGCTCAAGTGTGGCAACGATAGTGAGGTTGGCCCAGGATCCGGCAGTGTTTTGTTCTGCTGTGCATAAGGTCACTATGAGTCAGCACCCGACTGGATGGCACCTAACAATAGGTTTTACTGGGGTCCTGGTGTGGCGCTGTGGGTTAATGTGCCAGACTGCAAAGCCATTTGAACTGCAAGCTCGGTAGTTCAAGCTCACCAGCTGCTCCTCAGAAACACTCTATACAGGGTTGCTATGGGTCGGAACCAACTCGACAGCACTTAACAACATACGTTATACTGGAGTCCTGGTGTGGCGCTGCAGGTTTATGCGCTAGACTGCAAAGTCGGTTTGATCCGCACTCTCAACTGTTCAAACCCACCAGGTGCTCCTTGGAAACCCTATACAGGGTCGCGCAACAAGATGGCACTTAACAGCAACAACAATAGGTTCCAACCCACCAGCCACTCTATTTCTGAGATCCACCTCCCCAAAGAGGCAGAATAAAGAACATTTCATCCTTGGGCTCCTCACCAGAATCCACTTCTCACTCGGTGTGTGTTCTGGCATGGCGATGTCGTGCTAATCTCAAAGTTGGTAGTTCAACCCCACCAGCTACTCTCGGAAACTCTATACAGGATCGCTATGAGTCGGAACTGACTCAGTGCCATGCAGCAGCGACATAAGTCATACTTGAAGAGATACAACTAGCAAAACATACACCAATTCACCAATTTCTACCTGTCTTTCAGTGATTTGATTACGTTCTTCAAGCTGTGCAGCCATTTTCGCTGCCCTTTTATAAGTTACTCCTCCACCAGTAACATAAATTCACTAACTTCTAAGCTTCTTACTGAACTTTTCAAGTTGCTGTTGCCATTTTGATCCCATGTAAATCTGAGGGGGCTTCAAAAATTTCATGGAAGTTGGAGTTGAAAGATAGTTTTGGAGTTCATCTAGCCTCTTTGGATCCAGAAAGTTGGGATTCCATGAGAATTTTAAATTCTGTTTGACATTTCACCCCCTTTTGGTCAGAATTCTTTTATGGAATCTTTGTTCAAAAATGTTTGGCAATGATAGCTGGTCACCATCCAGTTCTTCTGGTCTCATGGAAAAGGAGGCAGTTTTTTTAAGAAGGAGCTCTGGTAGTGTAGTGGTTATGAATTGGGCTGCAAACCTTAAGGTCAGCAGTTCGAAACTACCAGCTGCTCCGTGGGAGAAAGATGAGGCTTTCTACTCCCGTAAAGATTTACAGCCTCAGAAACCCTGTTCAGGGTCGCTATGGGTCGAAACTGACTCAAAGGCACTTAACAACAACAACATTATAATTTTACATCATCTATTAACTTCCTTTTCTGGTAAATAAGGTTTTAACACTCTTAAACATGCCTCCCTCCAAGTCTTCTCATCCTCCTAACTTAGTTAGATCACAATATTTGGTTCAATCAGTATCTAGCACTTACTTTATTGTGATTATGTCAACGTTTTCTTTGCTGAGTCACAGAAAGTGCTATGTTTTGCTTTTCCTTTTTTATACGTCATGCACAAATGTATCAGGTATTAGATTTGTTTTGATTTTTCTTGGACACATAACTCCAAGAGCCCTTTCTCCTGCAGTCTCCCTTCTAGTTGCTGCCCAGCTCCTATGCTAGGAAGCCCTTCTCCGATATTGTATCTTCTGTTTCCTGAATCTTTTGAATTCTTCCTTGATTGTTCCTCTGTCAAAATTGGAGCATATCCTCCAGGAATTTTTAAGAAAGAATAGATGAGAGATACTCTGAGGCCTTGCATATTTGAAATGCCTTTATTCTACCTTCACACTTGGAATGCTAGTTTGTCTGCGTTTAGAAATTTCTAGGTTACAAATGATTTTCAGAGTGTTTAAGACCTTGCTCTACCAATCAGTCTTCATGTGTTGCTACAGAGAAGTCCAGAGCCTTTCACACTTTGAATGTGACCCATTGTTTCTTCTTCTGGAAGCTTTTGGGCTGGTGGTCCACTGTGGAGTGACTAGGTGGCCAAGTAGTTGTTCATTCAGAGACCTCCAACATTAGTCTTTATGGATGTTTTCACTTGAGACCATTCGCTTTCTCCAAAGAATGGGTCTCACATCTTATGCAATGAGACTGGTGATGCTCACTGTAGGGCTAAGAGTGGGAAGCAAGTTTGGGTACCATCATTCATCATGTAAACTTTCATCTCTGACCTTATTTGCAATCTAGCAACTGTGCCTAGCCCCCACTGTGTCTGGTGACCTCAGGACATGAGTCTATCTGATTTGTCCCCTTGAGGAACAGAGAGGTGTTACCTGCTGCAAAAGGTGGCATGGAGACTTGGAGATTCAATTATTCCTTCTACAGACTTTACCTTTGTCCCCTGTTTGTAGCTCCTTGCCTCCCTCTGGCCACCCAAAGAAGGTCCTTTTTAAATGTTGTCTGGCTCTCTTCATGGCCAGTCTTTATACTTCCCATCAGCATCTCCTCCTCTGCAGGACACACTATAGATACAGCCCCTCTGCTGAGCCCCTTACATCTCCTTGTCTCTGCTTTCCAGCTGCCTAGACAGACAGCCTAGACAGACAGGGCTGGCATCTGATTCACTGTTGCTTCCTTGTCTAGTCTTTTTGTTCTTGGGGGTTTACTCCTTTTACATTTGGTGTGGCCTCAGTGGCCACAGATGTCCACTTGCCACGTGGAGCCAGGGTCTGCACAAGATTTTACAATATTAGGCGGTGCTTACATGTCACTTTAAGTGAAAAAGAGCAGCCTGCAGAACTGTTGTTACACCGTGTAAGCATGCCTAGAAACGGAGAAAGAATCATGGTTTGGTGCGCTCCTGGGTGGTTGTAATTTTGTGCATATACTTTTCTGCATTTCTAAATTTCTTACAGTAAGCTTGAAATACTGATGATCAGGAGGAAAACAACAACAATAATAAACACTTTCTGTTAATAAATGGCTACACTTAGACATGGAATGTTAGGAAGAGTGAGGCTTTGGCGAGAAGGAAGCCCAATTCAGTCGTCTTGACCCTAGGCTTGTCTCAGCCCCTCTAAGCGCTGTGTGGCTGTGGGTTAGCCCTGGACCTCTGACCTCATTTCCTCCTTGCTGATCCCTGCTCACACTTGTCCGTGGTTTTGTGAGCTCTGGTCAGGTAAATACAAGTCCTCCCTTACAAGGTGTTGTGTGTTCTTTCCTACAGAACTACCTGAAGAAGCAGGTCACACCCCTCTTCAATCACTTCAAAAATGTCACCAATAACTGGACTCAGCGCCCCGAAAGCCTGATGGACCAGTGAGTGTGACCGCCCCAGAGTCTGGAGATCCTGTGGTCCCCAGCCCCCAGACTGGGTATTCCAAAGTAACAGCCAGTTAGTGTTCTTTGGTACTCCTGGCTCCCAGCCAGGGCAGGGCATGCTAGGAGGGGAGACACCCACCCAGGAGTAGGGGCTCTGCTGTGAGGCTCCATGCAGCCTGGGATCCCATCTGTCTCTTGTATACAAAGGGTACAATTGAGATGCACAAGTCACCTCACTAGTTTGAGCCTGTGCCAGCCCCTCTGGGTCCCTGGGCTGCCTTGAGGGCCAAGAAAGTTGAGGCCCACAGTGAAGCAAATAGACAAATAGGTGAGGCTGTAGTCAGGGCTCTGCCCAACCCCCTCTAACTGCAGTTGTGTGAAAGGAGGGGGATCTTTGCCCCATTCTGAGCCAAGTGGGCTGACCACCTGTCCTCCCTGGGGCAGGTACAACGAGATTAACGCCATCAGCACTGCCTGCTCCTACGGGGTTCAGGAATGTGAAGTCCTGGTCTCAGACCTTTTCGCCGATTGGATGAAAAATCCTAATAACAACCCGTGAGTGTTGCCCCTCAAGCTGAATCTGGGAGCCCACAGCCTTGTCTTCAACCAACCCTTGTCCCACCCCTCCCTGACGTCCCCTTTTCATTCAGGATCCACCCCAACCTGCGGTCCACCGTCTACTGCAACGCCATTGCTCTGGGTGGAGAGGCACAGTGGGACTTTGCCTGGAGCCAGTTCCAAAAGGCCACAATCGTGAATGAGGCTGACAAGCTCCGCTCAGCCCTGGCCTGTAGCAACCAGGTGTGGATCTTGAACAGGTGAGAACCAGGGCAGGGCAGGGCTGGGGAAGAGTCTGCCAGGCTCACACACATTCCTGTATGCGACCCACACAATCCCGAGAGGTTGAGCTGTATTGTCTCCATTTTACAGATGAGGCTTACGGAGGCTCAGGAAAGCAAAGCTCAAGGTCTAGAAGCTTTAATAAATAATAGGGCTAAGATTCGAACACATTATCTGGCTCTAAGTGTGGTGGTTTTAGCTGTTAACCTTTGCCTAATAGCAATTTAACTCTGGTAGCATAGTGGTTACAAGTTGGGCTGCTAACCTCAAGGTCGGCAGTTTGAAACGTCCAGCTTTTCCAAGGGAGAAAGATGAGGCTTTCTGTTCCCGTAAAGATTTACAGCCTCGGAAACCCTGTACAGGGTCACTATGTGTCAGAAGCAACTCCACGGCACAGAACCACCACCACTAATGGCAACTTAGTTTCTTCCTCTACAAGGGCTCTGGGACAGCTGATCCTGAGTCCTTCTGGACTCCAAGGGCTTCTAGCTCCAATTTTGTACTTCATATGCCATCAACTGGACCCCCTCTTCAAAGGAAGAGCCATCTTCAAAGTCCAGGAGAGTAGTAGCCACCATCCTGGTGCCAGGGGTCAAGAGTCCAGTCCTTTTTTCCTTCCTCTCTCACTTCCTCTGTCTTCTTTCCTTCATCTTCAATGATGTACTGACCTAGCACCTCCATTCCTAGGCATACACCCCAAAGTCTTGATAGTAGGGGTCCAGAGAGATACTTGTCTATGAATGTTCCAGCACAGCGCTCTGTAGTCATGTGTCCATTTAACAGATGAATATTAAGGAGCTCTCGTAGCGTAGTGGTTACGAATCGGGCTGCGAACCATAAGGTCAGCGGTTCGAAACTACCAGTCGCTCCGCGGGAGAAAGATGAGGCTTTCTACTCCCGTAAAGATTTACACCCTCGGAAACCCTGTACAGGGTCGCTATGGGTCAGAACCGACTCAAAGGCACTTAACAACAACAAAATTACTAGACAATAACAAGGTATTTACATGCTATGACATGGATGAAAACATTATACTGAGAAGGAGCCAGACACAAAAGGCTAACTATTGTGTTGTTTTTGTCCGGTGCTGTCAAGTTGATTGTAACTCATAGTAACCCCATGTGACAGGGTAGAACTGCCCCATAGGGTTCCCTACGCTGTAAACGTCACAGAAGCAGTTTACCAGGGCTTTTCTCCCTTGGTGAGTTTGAACCACCAATCTTGTGGTGCAACTGAGCACTTAACCATTGCACTGCCCAAAACTCTATGATCCCATTAATATAAACTATGTAGAATGCATAGACAAAGTCATGAAGACCCAAGCAGACTAATGGTGGTGGTCATGTGCCTTGGAGTCGGTTTCGACGCATAATGACCTTGTATACAGTTTCTGAAGCTGTAAATCTTTATGGGAACGGAAAGCTGGAGTGTCTGGTAGATTCAAACTGCTGACCTTGCGGTTAGCATCCTAACTTATAACCCACTACGCTACCAGAGGTTACTATAAGCACTGGACTGCTAACCACAAGATTGGCGGTTCAAACCCACCAGCTGCTCAGGGTCGTTATGAGTCAGAACTGACTCCACAGCACTTAATGGACTTAATGGGTGGGTGGATGAAGTGGGGCTGGAGGGGATAATTGGTGGTTAATGGGTATCGAGGAGTCCTGGTGTGGTGCTGTGGGTTAATGCACCAGACTGCAAAGCCGTTTGAACTGCAAGGTTAGTGGTTCAAGCTCACCAGCCACTCCTCGGAAACCCTATACAGGGTTGCTATGGGTCAGAACCGACTCGACAGCACTTCACAATAACAACAACAATGGGTATCGAGTTTTGGGCTGGGTGATGAAAAGGGTTTTGAAACAAATAGAGGTGATGTTTGTGGGTGTGATTAATACCATTAGATTATACACTTAAAATGGCTAAAACTGAAATTTGTTTATATACCATGCCACAATAAAGTAAATACATAAACAGATAACATTGGGCACTGGCTCTATGTCAGTCATAGCATCTGGCATCACCAGTGACACTGCTTTAGGGGGCTCAGGTCCCCACCTCCCACAGGGAAATAGGACAGGAGCCCCTTAACTCAGCAAGCCAACAGATTGTTGACTGGGTGCAGGACATGATATCTTCGTTCCTGGCTTCTTTCTTGTTTTGTGGAGTAAGTTCTGACTCATAACAACCCTGAGCAGCTGGTGGGTTTGAACCGCCAATCTTGTGGTTAGCAGTCCAGTGCTTATAGTAACCTCTGGTAGCGTAGTGGGTTATGAGTTAGGATGCTAACCGCAAGGTCAGCAGTTTGAATCTACCAGACACTCCAGCTTTCCGTTCCCATAAAGGAATTAGGGTTAAAGTCATTATTAGAGTTAGTGTTAGGGTTAGGGGTGGGGTTAAAGCTAGGAGTAAGGCTTGGTCTAGTTTTAGGGTTACAGCTAGGGTGTTTTTTTTGTAATTTAATTGAAATCTACTTGCTTACCTTTTTTCTGGAAGTTCTGTTAACTACAGTATTCCCTCTTTTTACTTAGTGATTTTTTTGTTGTTGCAGACTGATATCTCTGGTTCCCTATTTTCAGTCTTAAAGGTCTTTTATTTCCTTTTGTTGTTGTTGTTGAGTGCTGTTGAGTCAGTTCTGACTCATTGCGACCCTGTGTAGGGTTTCCAAGGAGCAGCTGGTGGGTTTGAACTGCTGACCTTGTGGTTCGCAGTCCACTGCTGATCTTACAGTGCCATCTGGGTTGAGTTCTGGGTGATATTGATCGTCATGTATGCTAATCTCAGGTTATTGTCTGCTGTTGGATTTCTGTCCAAAGAACTCTAGTATTTTTTTAAGGTTAAGCTGGTTTTCACAAATGCTTTTAATTTCTTCTATTTACCTGGAAATCATTTTTGAAGAACAATTTTGCTAGGAATATGATTCTTGGTTGGCAGTTTTTTTCTTTCAAGTTTTACATATGTCACCCCACTATCTCTTGCTTGCATGGTTTCTACTGATAAATTAGTGCTTAGTCTTTCTTATTTTTTCAGAAAAAAACAAAACAACTTTTGTTTTGAATTGAGTGAAAGTTTACAGAGCAGATCATCAGTTTTACATTCAATGATTCATGCATTTTGCTTCATTACAGGATTGCAATCCTCTCCATGTACCAACAGTTAACAACATTGGCCTCTATTCACTTAACTCGTGCATTCCTTCCTGTGTCTCCCACTATCTTCATCTTTCCTCTGCCAACCTCCTTCTAGTTGTATATTGTCCCATCACCCATGTTAACATGTGCCTATCTAGAGGGTCAAGGCCTGTGAATAATTCCTCCCCCTACCCGCAAACTATCATAGAATGTTTCTTTTATCAAGAAAACCTTTTCTTAAATTTTTATAATAGTGGTCTCATACAATATTTGTCCTTTTATGATGGTTAATTTCACCCAGCATAATGTCCTCCAGGTTCATCTACGTTGTGTGGCATTTTTTCATAGTATTCCATTGAATGTATGTACCGAGGCTTAAATATTCTTCTGTTGGTGAGCATTTAGGCAGTCTCCATCTCTTTTTCTAGATGTGTCTCTTGTAGACAGCATATTGAAGGATCCTGTTTTCGTATCCGTTCTGCTCCCTCTGTGTTGTGACTGGGAAATTAAGGCTTAGTTCTAATTATTAGTTCTCTTTAGTGGTAGCTTTTCGTTTTTCCCAAGCTGCTCTCAGGATTCTTTGGTTTCTTTTGTTTTGGCAAGTTTGATTACAATATGTCTTGTGATTTTCTTTTGGGGTTTGTTCAATTTCTTGATGTTATGCATGTTTTCTTTCAACAACCCTTCAACAATATTCTCTGTGGATTTATTTTTTTTGGCTTTTCCTGTTCTGGAATTCCAGTCATTTAATTGTTCCTCTTAATGATGTCCCACATAATTAGTAGACTTTCTTTGGATTTTTTTGTTTTTATTTCTGATTGTTCCTCTGACAGATGAATATTGAAAGATTTGTCTTCAAGCTCACTAATTCTGCCTTCCAGTGATTCAATTCTATTTCTTTGCCCTTTCAAAGTATTTCTGAAACCAATATACTTCAGATCTTTCAGAAGTATATTTCTGAAATCTTAGTATTCATCTTCTGGACTTCTGTTTACTGTTTGTGTATGGTTTCTAAGTTTTCATTTATTTTGTCAGTTGATTCTTGTAGTTTCCCCCTGAATTAACGTTTTGTCTGTTATCCTTGATTTCATCTGCACTTTTCTCTACCTTTCTCTCAATGAATTGAAGGTACCGAAATATCATTCTTTTGAATTCCTTGTCAGGTAGCCCCAATCCCACTGTTGTTGTTGTTGTTACGTGCCGTGGAGTCGGTTCCGACTCCAAGCAACCCCGTACAGGGTTTCCGAGGTTGTAAATCTTTATGGGAGCAGAAAGCCTCATCTTTCTCTCTCGGAACAGCTGGTAGTTTTGAACTGCCGACCTTGATATTAGCAGCCCGATTTGTAACCACTATGCTACCACAGCTCCTCCAATTCCATTACATGTATTATATTCTCTGGTTTTGAATTTTGTTCATTTGTTTGAGTCCCTCTGTCTTGTTTCTTTGTGTAAGATGAAATTGTCTGTGATCTTGGAGACATTGTGGTATCATATTTATATTTGATTAACCGTTGTGTATTGTTTGTTCTTAGACGCTCATCGTCTTCCACCTAGTGGGTGTGATGGAGACCAAAAGTGTGTGATGTTCTTGGTTTACTGCTTGTGTAGTGTAGCTCAGAGTGGCTGCTGATATCACTGATCAGGCGGTATAGGAGTGGGATATGGTACTTACTTGCCTAATGGGTAGAATCACAGGAGGTACAGATGTGGCTGGGCGGTATGGGCACAATTGCTCTCTCCCAAAACCAATCTATAGTAAAAACAAAACAAAACAAAAGACTGGAATTCACGCACTTTCAGACGTGGGGGTGGCACACCCAGTGCTAGACCCCAGGCAGAGCAGAGGCTGCATTGCATAGGAGAAGTGCCACTGGGTGGCAAGGGCAGAGACTGGACATGCCCCCAGCCACCAGAAGGACACAGGGAACAAGGAAGAACCAAACTTTCCTCACTGCCAACCTCCAGTTGAGTCTTTTTTTTTTTTCCTTAAATGTGTTATTGTGAATTATATGATAGTTTACATGGGAGAACATTAGTTTTACATTCATTCTATCTTATATCGTCTCATTGCCATGGTTACAATCCCCTCCATGCATCATCAACCAACCAAAGGGTATACCCTGCAATCCTTGCCCCCGTACCCCCCAGGTCTGCAGCACACAGTCGCTCTCCCTCTCTGGATCTAAAGTCTCCAGGTCCTCCACTATTCCACGTCATCATCTCTGGCTCCATTTCAGGCATCACTGCTTCTCTGGGTAGGGTCCTGCTCTCTGCTCTTCTCCCTTGATGGTCCTAGGGACCTCCGCTCCTAGACTGAAAAGTTAATCACTCCCCTCCTTGATATAAAACGTCTACCTTTACGTTTCCAACCCTCACAATCAGCCCTGATAACAATTATTCACTATTGTATCACAAGAGACCCGTCTGTGTTTCATTGCATCAGCCCCACCTAGTCAGATTGAATACTACTCGCTGGAGATTCTACCTTCCTCCAGGCCCTCTGGATCTAGGTTCCCTCTTGAAAGCTTGTAAGCCAGTCACTTCTTGCCTTTGTAACCCTCTGCCCCCCATTTTGGGTATCCAATGTCCAAGTTGCTCATCCCGGTCTACTCTGTGTGTGGAGGGGGTGGGAATGATTCTTGTGTAAGGACTTGTTTCCTCTTTTGAGCTACTGCTTCCATAGGTGTAGGTCAAGTTCATCAAATTGTATCAGAATACTTTTTTTTTTTCCCCAGTTGAGTCTTGTGCCTCCAGCTGCAAATAAAAGCTTCAGATGGCCATGCCACATGGCCAGCCAACAATCTCTCTCATTTCTTGCCACTCCTGCTCAGCTTCCTCTCATAAGCTGGCCTTCTACTCATCCTTTAGCCTATCCTGTGAAGCTCAAGTTTCCAGACTCACCATCTCTATCTGTGTCTATTTCACTTGGTCTTCTATGTCCTTGTTGCAGAGGGGGGTCTGCTCAGTGTAGCTGCCTAGTCCGCCATCGTCCCCTAAAGCACTAACTCTTTTATCTGGTGTCTCCTTTGAATCTTCTGACTACAGATTCTGGCTGTGGTTGCTAACCTTGCATCCTGCTTTCACAGGTACCTGAATTACACCCTGAATCCTGATCTCATCCGAAAGCAGGACGCCACCTCCACTATCAGCAGCATTGCCAGCAACGTCATTGGACAAACGCTGGTCTGGGATTTTGTCCGGAGCAACTGGAAGAAGCTCTTTCAGGAGTGAGTCTGCGGAGATGGTGTCAGCAGGAGCGTTTGGGGTGGTCTGCATGCGGTAGGAAGGGTGGGCAGAAATTATGGCTGATGGGTGCATCCTCTAGGAAAGGGTGAGAAGTATGGGACTCTGGGTCAGTCCTGGCTTCCTAGGGAGTGTCCTTGGGCATTGGTCCCAGTTCCTCACACATACATCCTTTCTTCACATCCTACAGTTACGGTGGTGGCTCCTTCTCCTTCTCCAACCTCATCGAGGCAGTTACCCGGCGGTTCTCCACTGAGTATGAACTGAAGCAGGTAAGAAGTTCTCCTTACCCCTGGTCCCTGGGGCAGGCACACTGGGGACTGGGCACCCAAAGGCCCATTCCCAGCCTAAAAGTACAGCCTTTACCCAGCTCCCAGTGAGTGTGGTGGCCATGAGGGAACGTGGCCCCATGTTGCCAGGCTTTCCTAATTCACAGGAGAAGGGGCTACCCAATTTTTAAGATGTGGACAATTCATTGTAAATAATTAATCTTGGCAATTTTTGTACTGGCACAAAAGTGAGGAGACTAATATAATAAACCTCCATGTAACCAGATTAAAAATTCTCAATATTTTGACATTTTGCCAAGACACTTTTAGGGATGAACAATTTTAAATCAAATCACTGGTGTTATACAATTTCACCTGCATATACTTTGTTATTGTTAAGTGCCATTGAGTTGATTCCAATCCATAGTGATCAAGGATCGACTAGTGAGCTTGAACCTCTGACCTTGCGGTTCAAACCAACTTTGCAGTCCAGCACGTTAGTCCACAGCAGCGCACCATCATATAAAATAAAGGAATGTCTTAAACATAATTCGTTACACTGACATTATCAAACCCAAGAAAATAATAGTTCGTTAATAACCTCTTACACTCAGGCTGTTTTCAAATTTTTTAAGATGCTAAAAAAAAGCTTTTTGCGATTGATACATTTCAATCAGAAGACAAAGTCAACCCATTTGCCTTTTGTTTTTAACTGAGATGTAGTTCGCATATGATACAATTCATTATTTTTTTTTAAATATGCAATTCAGTAGTTTTTTTAAGCATACTCAAAGATTGTGCAACCATCACCAGTTACTAACTGCAGACATTTTTATCCACCTCAATAGAAACTGTCCACTGGCAGTCACCTCCAGGGCCACCCTCTCCCCAGCCCCTGCTAACCATAAATCTCCTTCCAGTGTCTCTGGATATGCCTGTTCTAGACATTCCTTATAAAAAGAATCATGTGACTTTTCTTTTTTTTTTTTT